GCTTCGTCCTGTGTGCATGTTTGTGCAGCAGTTAGATTTGATCTTTTACCCTGAAAATGTGAAGCGATGGTCCTGACAATCAACATCTGCTAAACTGACTTCATTAAAGCAACATTTCAATTCATTATCTCAATTTTACTTAGATTTCAGTCAAATCTTTAAAGAACAAAATTGAAAATTTTACTCTTGCTGGCCCTAAGAATAAAAAAAATTTAAATAAGCTTTAACTTTTAAGCTTTTTCTTAATAATATACATGTTTTTAATTGTTGATGAAAATATTTTGTTTTGCAGGCTTCAGGAGCAGGAGCGAGCTCTGAATCTGTCCATCAAGGAAGCTACAGCTAAAGTGAGTCACCTGGTTGATTTCTTTAACGGGATTGTTTGCAGTGGGTTGCTTTAAACAGTTAATATCTTACCTGTTGTAGATGGCTCTTTGAGAGACTTCTGTKTGGAGAAACAGAGTTTATTTCTGACCGGACAGAACAGCTAACWGCTATTCTGTTTGCTGCCATCTTAGAACAATTTAAGTTTTGTTTTTGTTTTCTGTTGTAAAATGATTTACTTTGTGACGGGTTCATGAAATCAAGGTCTGAGGGGGTGCCAGTCAGGTCTCCCGGAGGCTAATATTAGCCTTTCAAAGGCTAAAATTAGCCTTGAAAACACAACAACCTCACAAAGGATGCAAGCATATAACAGTGCTCATCACCCTAAACATTAAATGAAATAAACCCAAAAATACCAGTTTCTTTCAAAGCTCAAATGTACTGTTGCACAATTGTGAAATAAAGAAAAACAATTATCACAGCAAACAGTAATTTGAATGTAAACATGGATAATCTTGTGTTCAGTTCAGCATAAACTCCACTCTGGGTTTTTTTCTTTTACTGTCCCAAGTTCGAGTAAAGTAAACACAAGAAAAAAACGATCTTGGCAGCTCAATAAAAGTCAAAATGCCAAACCTGGTACAGCAGCGGCAGCTACAGCCAGGTGAATGTACTCACAGTACTGGTAAAGAACTTCACAACCTTGATGGTCCACAGAAGTTTTCCTGCTCCAGAGCTGCCTGACCTGTGGTGCTGATAAGGAACTTCCTGCCACCTTCAACCACAGAGGACTTTGTGCTCCTTAGATCCACAGAAAAACTTGATCCACCTTGGTTCTCAGATGAATTTTCTCCACCTTTTTCTTAATGAAGACTCCTCGTCTTAATTCTCCTTCTTTCTCCATTCACAGAAAAGCTTCCTTCCTCCATTCCAAAGCAAAGCTGCTTCTGGTAGTATTTTTTTCTCTCTGGCCGCACCCATCACCACACCAGAAGAGCAAAATGTTGGGGGAGTGGTCATGAGTTTTGGGTGTGAACAATTTCCAGTGGAGAGTGTTCCAGTTGTCACAACTTGTATAAAGTTTTAAAAACTGCGCAAGAAGTGCTACAACTACCGCTTGCTACAGCCATTAAGTTTTACAGATATCTTCATTTTCTAAAATATGTAATTKTTACTTAAATCTTAAATTTTTATTTAAAACGTTTCTAAAGGTTTAAATTCCTGCATCAAATGCAGAGGATGATAAGTAGTGGTGGCAAAGCTAACCAAAAAGTTGGCTTCATTAATCAATAATCCGTTAAAAAAGAAACTCTGCTAACGCTAAATCGCTAAATAAGAATTAACTCTTTTAACTCCAAACCACTAAACAAGAATCTTAGCTCTACTAACGCTGAACTACTAAACAATAATCTTAGCTCTACTAACGCTGAACTACTAAACAATAATCTTAGCTC